ATGGGGCCAGCAGCTGCCGAAGCGGATGGCACAGGCACTGAGAACCAAGGGCAGTGGTTCCTAGAACATGCCAGGCATCCAGCTGAAGATACAGCCAACAAGGCTGGAACCTCCTGGCCAATATTCCCAAGAATTCGCAGTGGGGAGACCCACCTTCTTGGCATGATAAGGAACTCTATGGGAACGGGCGTAAGTGCAGCTATATTTAGTCCAGTGCCAGACTAAACATAGAGACAACTGAATTGTCCTAGAGCTGCCTGTCTAATGGGGTAGCTGCTAGCTTCATGTGACTATTGAGCACTTGAAATGTGGCTGGTGCCACTTGCTTAATGTCAACTTAAATAGCCATGTGTGTCCCATGGCTACTGTTTAGGATAGCATGGACTTGGTCTTTGGCTCTGGAGAAGTCGCACGCTTCCTTCCATGGTAGATGCTTAGAAGTTCCCCAGAGTTGTCTGGCCAAGGGCAAACTCCAAAATCCTGGGAAAATGTTCTGATTCATATTGAAAGATAATCGATAAAGAAATGACGCATAAACACCAAGGGTCATCAGTTCTGTTTAACAGGCACTACTGGCATTCCCATTTTTCAGATGAGAAAATGGAGGCCCAGAAAAGCAGTCAATTTCTCAAAGTCAGAGGAAACATGGGGCCAGGCAGCATTTACCTGCCTCCAGGCACAGCCTGGTCCCTCCCCTGCCTGTTGGGCAAATAGGATGGTGGTGGGAGGGGCTGGGATGTGAGACCCCCTCTGAGCCCTCAGCCTGTGGGCTGCTGCCTCCTGGGGTAGTCAGTGATGGATTCCCCAGCTGGGCCTCCCAGCAGCGTTAGGCCCAGGGGAGCCTTCCCCAATTCACCCTGGCTCGTTAATGCACAATTTACTGGCACTTTAATGCACTCAGCATGAAAAGTGCTTCTCCCTCCTGCCTGCTAGTTGGCCCTCCCTGGGGAGAGCTGTGTGTAGGCAGTTGGTGGGGAGCAGGGGGGCTGCTGCTGCTGTGGGTTGGGATTTTAAATGAATAGCAAGGAGGCTGGGAAAACAAGGAGGGGGAGGTGGTCTGTGTGGGACCACATGGCTCCAAGGCTGCTAGGGATCATCCCCTTGATGGGGGTTGAGGGGAACCCTCCTGAGTCAAGCAGCAACAGAAATAGCCCATCTTGGGGCCTCATTTCCCACGTCTTGATACTCAGCATGTGCTGTCAGATTCCTCCCGAAAAGCACAACCAAAATCTGATTATTTCTCACCACTGAACTGCTCTAAGTGACCAGCATCCCACACCTGGATGGTCCTCAGTGGTCCCCAGGCTCAGGCTGACCCCCTACAGTCCTCTCTGTAGTAGCCAGAGGGCGACTGTGAGCACCTGAGTCAGGTCCCATCCCTTCTCTACTCACAGCCTTCCCTTGGTCCACAAGGCCCTGCAAGACCTGCCCCTCCCCCATGCTCTCTCTGCTCACACACCTGGCATGGTCTGCCTCAGGGCCTTTGCATGTGCTGTTTTCCAGATACCCTCATGGCTTCCCTACCTCCCCTCCTGTAGTTCTCTGCTCAAATGTCACCTTCTTAGTGAGTCTTTCCTGACCATCCTGAATTGCAACTCACTCTCATCCTGGTCCCCCACACCCCTTTGGGGCTGCTGTATTCTACCCCCACCTCACCTGGCTCTCGCCATCTGACATTTCTGTTTACCAAGCTCCTCTCACTCCAAAGGCAGGGGTTTGTGTTCTCCTTTGCTATTTCCCTGGCACCTACAACAGCACTTGGCAAGGTGATGGATAAATATCTGTTGCATGAATAGCTGCTCTGGTTGCTTCCTGCCCCCCCCCCCCCCAGCTCTGTCTCCCTGTTCCCTGAGCTGCCTACCCCAGCCCCTGCTAAATCACAGACATGGCCCTGGTCCTCTGCCAGTCACATCTGGCACAGGCAGAAAGTCCTGCCAGCTCCCAGGAGAAAGGGGTCAGGTGGCGGGAGGATAGGCAGGGGTGGAAGCTGTGCTTCAGCTTGGGCAAGGTGCCCTGTGCAGGGAGCCAAGGCCCCTGGTGCAGACCTGCCCCTGGCTCGCGTGAGCCAGGCCCTTGAGAGCTCTCAGATACATTGAAGATGGCAATCCAGGTGTGCCTGGCCCACATAACAGGCCCGTCAAAGCTGAAGCAACTGACCTACAAAGAACTGAAGAGGTCCCAGCCTCATCTGAGCCATGCAGGGACCCAAGGAGAAGGCCAGAAGATGTACTCCCAAGATGTGGGGACCTGCTGATATCCTGGGGGGGTTACAGGTCCCATCCCTTCTCTGCTCACAGCCCTCCAGGGTTCCCATCTCCATGGGGTAAAAGCCCAAATCCTCCTGCCCTCCCCTCCTCCTCCTCTACCCTGCCTTTCGAGGGGCAGCCATACCTGAGCTCCTCGTCACTTACTCACCTGTCTGTGATGTTCCTGTAGACCCTGCCGGATCCTCTGGAGCTGTGAAGTAAAAACAGGGGTCACAAGTGGGCAAGGGTCTGTAATTTGAATGCTGTGCATGTTTCTTCCCAGCTGTGTGACACTGGGCAAGTCACTCTACTTCTCTGGTCCCTACTCTCATTAATGGACTACCACTTCATATACTCAGAACGGGTGCTAATTAGGGAGACCCCTGGATTTCATTCTAGATGTGAATTGAAGGTCAAAGGCCTCCCCAAAGACCCCTCCCCCTTGCTCACTCAGCTCCCACAAGCCTTCTCATTGTTCCTCCAACACACCTGCCCCGGGTCCTTTGTACATACTGTGCCCTCTGCCTGAACACCTTCCCCTGTTCTCTCTAGGGGTACCAGGAGCCCCTTATCTTCTGCAAACATCACTTCTTCTGAGAACCCCTTCCTGACTACCTTAGCTCAAAATCTTGACTCATTTTTCATTTCATCATTTTGTTTTCTTTTTTTTAAGATTTTATTGGGGAATTGGGGGAGGGGAACAGCATTGGGGAATCAGGGAAGGGGAACAGACAAGTTGCTGTCCTTTTGTTCTTCAGTCTAGTTGTGAAGGACGTCACTTCACTGGCCCATGTTGGTATTGTGATCATTGAGCCGTTCCCGGTTGAGGCAGATTGGTTGCCTGCCATTGCACGGCAGCTCACAGCAGCTCACACCAGCTGTTGGCCACTCACGGTAGCTTACGGCAGCCCCACTGCAGCCTATGCCAGCGACTCACGGCAGCCCAGCTCCAGGTTGAGCTGTTGTTCACCATCTTAGCTGTAGAGGGCAGTGTCACTGGCCCATGTGGGATCCAAACCGGTGGCCCTGCTGCTCAGAGCTCGCGCTCCCAAGCCAACTCAACCAACGCGCCACTCGGCCGGCCCTCTGTTATCTTTATAATGCTTACATTTTGTGAATCTTGTTTCTCAATTTCTTTCTCTCTCTCCTCCGCTTAGAGCTGCCCAGTCCAATGAGGTAGCCACTAGTCAAGTGTGGCTATTCAAATTTAAATCAATGTAAAAAAGAAATGCTCAGGGCCGGCCGAGTGGCGCGATGGTTAAGCACTGGCTTGGGACGCCAGAGGGCCCCGGTTCAGATCCCACATAGGAGGGCCAGTGACACTGCCCTCCACAGCTAAGATGCTGAACAACAGCTCAACCTGGAGCTGGGCTGCCCTGAGTCGCCAGCAATGGCGTAGGCTGCAGCCCCTGTGGCAGTGGGTTGCCATGGGCTACCGTATGTAGCCAGCAGCCAACGTGAGCGGCCAGCAGCCGCAGTGAACGGCCGTCCAGAAGCCGGTGACTGATCTGCCTTACCCGGGAAGAGTGCAATGATGGTGCCAACTTGGGCCAGTGAAGCAACGTCCTCCACAACTAGACTGAAGAACAAAACGACAGCAACTTGTCTGTTCCCCTTCCCCAATTCCCCAGCACTGTTCCCATCCCCCCAATTCCCCAATAAAAATCTTAAAAAAAAAAAAAATGTTCAATTGCCACATGTGGCTAGCAAGTGTCGCATTGGACATTGTTGATATAGAACATCGGGGAACGTTCTAGAAGACATTAGAACATACATCCCTCAATGGCAGGGACTCTAGTCATGTGCTATAGGCTGAAGAAACACCTCCTTTAAATATAGAATTTCTAGTTTTCACAGCAAGGCTATTATAAAAAACTTGGGAGAATTTGAGATCTTGCTCCTGGGCATACGTCATCAGTTTGGCTCCAATAAACTCATAAAAATTCTCAAACCAAAAAAAGAAAAGTCACATGAAGCTGGGGCTCAATGGGTTAATTCACTTGCCCAGAGTTAGCAAAACAGAGAAGAGGGTGTCCCTGAAATCCTGCTCCTGAGGCCTAACAGAACCGCCTTTCTAGGATGTTCTGGGAGGGGCTGCCCAGAGGGGCTGCCTGGTTTGTGGCTCACCAAGTAGTAAATGCTCTCCATCTGTGCTGGCAAGTGAGAGGGGAACCTGCAGGGGAAGAAAGACAGGCTGGAAGGGGAAGGGGGCAGGACCCTTCCCCAGAATGAGCCTCACCCCCTGGCAGGGCAGGAATGAAGGTCTCCTTCAAAGGAGCCACATTTAAGGCAGCCTCAAGAGGAATATGATTTTAATGCAGCATTTTAAAATATATAATTGAATGCAAGCAAATGCACACTGAACAACAAAAAATCAAACATTTAAGTATAAAGCCAGGGTTGGTATTACTGGTTTGGTTTTCCTTCTGTTTTAGGCTCCCCCTATTATTAGTCCTGTCATTTGGGGCTTCTGGGCCACAGAGATACTGGATAGGATTATTTCCCTCAGTGGAACTTAGGGCCACGCGGGACCCCTGTGAATCATCCTCACCTGGGGAACTGCTTCTTGAGCTGCTCCAGGATGCCCTGATAGTTCAGGGCTGGAAGGCTGGCCCCAGGATTGGCCTGGAAAAAGGTTGAAGGAGGGTGAGGCAGGACCTCCTAAAACCTGAAGGTAATCTGCCTTCTCTCTTGCTACTTAAGTACCCACAGAATATCTTCCATTTTGCATCTTGCCTTAAAATATACAATATTCCCTCTCTGGCCCTTTACGGAAGAAATTTGCCACCACTCCCCACGCCCCTCTAAACTGTTAGAAATGGTCATATCTGGGAAGGTCTGGAGGAGGGGGGTTTACTTGTAAAATATTAACAGATGATGTAGTTATGGTTTACATCTGAGTGTTAAGTAAGTTTAATTTAATAAAGCAAGTGCTTGGCACCAGTCAGTAGGTATGTTGGATTAGCCTATCCAGCCCCTCCCAAGTCCTTCCATCAGAAGCGGGATATTTAGATATGAGCACAGTCCCCAGGTGCTTCCCCACGCCCCAGGGGTTAATGCCACACCATGCCCTCCCCACCAAAGTTCTTGAGGGCCTCACCATCCTTGGAGGTTGTCCCTGGGAGCTGAGATGGCCCCAAGAGCTCATCTTCAGGTAGTAGTCACAAGGACTCTAAAAGCAACAAGCAGGTGGCAGGTCCTGAGGGCAGAAGGTTAGGCAGTGGCAAGGACAAAGCAGCCCCACCCCACTCCTGGGCCTCATACACCATCCACCATAGTCTCCTCTCCAAGACCCCATCCTGGACTCCAAATCCCGTCTCTGACTTTCAGCATCCCACTGCATTCCCTACAGCCTATGTTCATTCATCAAACACTCTGGTGCCTGCAGCGGTGCTGATTAAAAGCTGAGACGCCCAGGGCCTCACCGTGTGAGGTGTGAGGGGAGAGCAGTCACCGCTGGGGGAGCTCAGAGAAGGATGTCAAAGCTCAACCTTAGCTTTAAGGCCAATTTCCCAAAGCATGGGAGAACATCATTGGAAAGAGGTTTTGAAGGATGAGTAAGAGTTGTTGGCCAGGTGAAGTAGGAGGAATTTCTCAGGCAGAAGGAAAGAGACCTCTTCATCACCAGAATCACAACTGTGGCACCAAACTCCTTCTTTACTTAGCTTCTAGCCCTCAACGCCCCTCCAGCCTCCTCTCCAGCTGACCTGGGGCCTACCCACCTTCTGTAGAATGGAGGTCCAGAAAGAGCAAGGAGAAACCCGTGCGGGTCAGCCAAGTTCAGGCAGAAAAGGAGGCCCTTCTCTCACCTGGGGGCCATTTGACCCCTCGGGCCCCGCCCCGGCCCGGCCCCTCCCCATTGCCACCTGAACTCCAAAGTCAATCAATGTACCCGCAGAAGCTGCACGTGGGCTCGGGCTTCTGGGGCGGCCGCCAGCCGTACTGGCCAATCATAAGGCCGCTTGCCCACGTGGGCCGCGGCCACCATCTCTGATTGGCCGATTCGCCCTGGCCACCGGCCGGGCTGTCAATCAGAGCACCCGGCGCTGCGGCTTAACCCTTGCAGTCCCGCAGCCCGGAAGTGCGGTGTGCAGAGCCTCAGGCAGTTTCGGGGGCAGGCGGTGGTCGAGGATATTTACAAGGGCTTGGGGCTTGGGGTCACAGGGTGCAACCTGGGGAGGGGCTGGGCGGCGTGTGGTTGTATTGTTTGAAGAGAAGCCTGGTCATTTTTCTCCAGGTTCCGGAGTGGCTTGTGGTGTGGGATGTGAGGAATGGGGACTTCGGGTGGAGAGCTCTAGTATGTTCCCTCTAATCCTTAGATATGGGCCAATAACATTTTATGATGTTAAATAACGTGCAATGAAATGAAGTTTCAAGCCCCCTTTCTGGGGAAGATTTAACATCTCCCTTTAGCCAGTGCTGCCCAAGAGCCAAGCCCCAGGCTACTCATTTTATCCAGGTGAATTTTTCCAACTGCCCTCCAAGCCCAGGGACAGAGGATGTGAGAACCAAAAGCCTCTACTAAAAAGGCCTTGAGGCGGGCCCTCCGGGCGGCACGTTAGTTAAGAGTTGGCTTGGGACACCAGCTCTGAGCAGCAGGGCTCTGGTTCAGATCCCGCATGAGGGCCAGTGATGCTGCACCCTCTACAGCTAAGATGGTGAACAACAGCTTGACTTGGAGCTGGGCTGCTGTGAGTCTCCGGGGACCTCGTAGGCTGCAGTGGGGCTGGCCAGCAGCTGGCGTGTGCTTTCGTGAGCTGCTGTGAGCCTCCGTGAGCGGCCATCCAATGGCCGGCGACCTATCTGTCTCACCCGGGAAGAGTGCAATGATAATGACAACATGGGCCAGTGAAGCGATGTCTTCCACAACTAGACTGAAGAACAAAAGGACAACAACTTGTCTGTTCCCCTTCCCCAATTCCCCAATAAAATCTTTAAAAATAAAAAATAAATACATAAATAAAAAGGCCTTGAGGCTAGTACATTTTTTCCAGGTTCAGGCAAATTTGGGAAGGGGTGGTGGGTATTCCAGGCTTGGGATGATATCAGAGATAAGTGGGTGGGAGGGTTGCAGGGGCCTGTTGATGGATTCAAGAGTTTTGTGTTGGCCCAGTTTGAAATGCCTACTCAAGATATGAAGTGGTCAATCTGGAGTTTTGGAGTGAAAGGCCAAGTTTCTAGCTACCCCAGGACCTTTGCACTAGCTATTCCGTCCTCCAGGGATAATCTCCCACCTGACAGCCACTGGCTTACTCCCTCACCTTCAGCTCTGGCTCAGAGGTAACCACCTCACTGAGACCTCCATTTTCCCTTTGTTATTTCATTTTCCTCCAAATGTGATTTGAATTGAAGCTGATCTTGTTTTAATCTCAGTGGCTCAAAATTCATATAATGCTGATGGGATTCTAATACATTCGCATAGCTGGCCATAGGCTTCTGGGACAGTGTCTGGCTTGGGATCCACACGAACCAGAAACCTCTCCATTCCTCCTGATCTGTGCTTTGTCACTGGGGGTAAACTAAGGGTTTGGATCTTAGAATGCATAGCCCCTAGAGATTCTGATGTAAACACATAACTTGTGTTTTGTGGCTGGTCTGTGGAGAAGAAAGTGAGGGCTGCTGTATATGAACCATAAAAAAAAGGTTTTCACCCATGATCCCTCAACTGGCCCTTAATTGAAATATATTTTATTTGTGATCCAGCTTGCTAATTGCCTCCCTCTGTGCACTTGCCTCTCCTCGCTGTGATTGTAGACTTTCATCTGGGCACACCAGTTCATCCAAGGTTGGCTTGTCTCGTCTGGTTTCTGCTAGATACTTGTGGCTCTTTGCAACAAATTAAAATTAAATAAAATGTAAAACTCAGTTCTTCAGGCCCACTGGCTCAGTTGCTCAGTGGCCACATGTGGCTGGGGACCATTTGCACTGGACAGGACAGATCTAGAATATTCCCATTACCATAGAAAGTTCACAGGACGGCACAGATCTGAGGTTCTTCAAAAAGAAAAATTCTAGGTCCATGTATGAATCAGGAACATTTTATGGTAGCCATTCCATTCTCACTTTTTGAAAGCCCCGCATGTGGAGTTGGGTAATATTTGGTATTTTTTTCTGGTATGTGCTCCCTGCTGCTTCTTTCTTTTTCTGTCTCTTGCCTGCTCCAGCCTGGCCAGCAGGGATACAATCTCCTTGAGAAGGGGATGGATGACAGAGCAGATAGGAAAGGAGGAAGCACAGATTTCCTTCGTGGCTTCTGAGCTGTGCTTTACTTGGTGGAAATCCAAGGTCTGGATGAAAGTTTGAGAAAAAAGAGGTTTACATTTCCAAAGCTTTGGAATTCCCTGGACCTGCCCTGGAGACCTCAGACCGGTTCCCCCAGGGGTCCCAAGTTCACATGGGTTGGGTGTAGGCCAGGCAGAGGACTCAAGAGAAAGTCCAGGATGGAGAGGGGGCTGTGGAGTGACCACAGGGAGGTGACAGCAGGGAGGTGGTGACAGGCTTCAACTGCCCTCCTTTCTCCCCCATCCCCAGAACTTCCCAGTGGCCCACAAGAGCAAGAGACAATAGTCAAGTGTTAGAAGTGAGGGAATGTGTAGGTACAAGACTTACTTCTGGTGTCTGGCCAAGGAATTAATGGCCAAGAGCAGCAGAAGAGGGGCCCTCTCTGAAGTGGCTGGCCTGGCAGGGAGATACTCAAGAGTGGGATGCCCCCCAACTGCCCACACTTTTGGATGCCACATGACCACCCTTGAATTTACACCTGGCCCCAGGAAAAGTGAATTTATCAAATTGCCTGGCATTGATTGAGGTTTGCTCTCTGCCACCTAGTGGAAAGAGGCTTGCATTCCTTTCCCCTGGGCCACTGTAACAAATGACCACAAACCAGGTGGCTTAAAACAACAGAAATCTATTCTCTCCCATCTGGAGGCCAGAAGTCCAAAATCAAGGCGTTGGCAGGGACAGCTTCCTCCTAAGGCTCCAGTGGAGGGTTCTTCCTGTCTCTCCCAGCTTCTGGTGGTGGCTGGCAATCCTTGGCCTTCCATGGCTTACAGACACATAATTTTTTTTTT